ACAGAAATACTTTAATTAATCCTTGCTATAACTCTGCACTTTGGACCGAAAACTTATTTATAAATGTATTTATTTATAAATAATAAAAATAATAACTAGATAATTATGAGTGCAGCCCTTATGTATGCTATATGGGTATAGCCTACCCTTGGATATATGCCGGTCCCTCCTAACTGCGTCTACTTCTGCTGCTGTTGCTTGTCGCCTAATGCACTGGAAGAACTTTACCAAAAAACATGCAAATTTCGTTGGCACTAAACAAATAACAGACGGACCCGAACAAACCAAGCAAACCAAAGCAAATTGTGTTAATGGAAGTAAGAAGAGCAAAAAAAGGCAATTAAAACAATTAAGTGACGCGTTTCTTTGGGCCACACTATTTGCCAAGTGAAAATGTAACAAAAAAAAACAGAAACAAAATCCGAAAAAAGGAACCCAAAAATGATGGCATTAAAAAATGTGCCAAAACATTTCATTTTGAGAGCCAAGCGAGCGACGCAAATACGAATAAAAAATGTAAATCATAAAAATAAAAATAATATGAAAAAAAAATGAATATTGTATAAAAATCCGCAATTTGTATGCTGTCGCATATTCTTGTGTAATGCTTAAGCATTGTCCAAAGGCCGTTGGGCGTCGGTGGGGGAGTGGGGGGTGTGGGCGTGGCTGTACTTGTATATGCTGTCATAAATACATGGAACGACTGAATGCTTTGATAAAGGACATGTGCTGCGGCTCTATTATTGATGCCAGCTTGTCTTGGGCTGTCATCAAAGGACGTGCCATTGTTTGAACCGAATGTCTTGGCAAAAGGTAAGACATTTGCTTATTTTACATACACCATCTGGCAAATGCCTTTGGGGACATTTCAACACCAACAACCCCCCCTTCCCCTGGCGTAGTTGGTGTCCAGAACGTACCGCACACAGACCGCTGGACATGTTGCATCTACTATAGCCTTTTGGCAAAAACTTTCGTTGTCGTTCGTTTCTTTTCAACACTTTTTACTTGGCCATGGGCAATACATCTTGGACCACAAAACACAAAATCGTCTTAAGTATTTTGTGTGGTTTAAATAAAATAAAAATAATAAAAACCATCTCTTGCCTGTCTCTCTGTGTGTGTGTGTGGGTGTCTGCATAAAGGGATAAGCATAGAACATCCGCTTAACGTTGTGTATTTTCTTCGCTTAGTCTTGTCTTGGCATTCAATTTGGGTCTCGTTTTGCGTAAATGATTTTATTTCATTCTTTTGTGGCTTGGTGTAAAATTTTGATATACTATTATTCTATGCCCAGATCCAATGTCCGTCATTGTTTTTTATGGACACTCACACACACACACACATTGCACAACAATCGCCCCTTCCAAACCCACTCACACATCATCTTTGCCATCATCATCAGCCGCATGACATGGCCAAAAGGTGGCTGCTGCTACATACTGGACATGGATGTGCATGCCCCGGCCATCCGATGGCTATGTGAATTCTGACACTTGTTGTCGTCCATCTGTATGTGTGTGTGGGCAAAAGGATTGATGTGCGCGTCACATGGTAATTTTAGCGTGGGCATAGAAATTGCTCATACGCCTAGTGAGGCATAGGCAAAGCATTGTATCTGAGTGATTCAAAGAAATGGAACGGGCAGCTAAAATTTCTACAGTTGTAAGCATGGACTTTGTCCAGCTAAGCCGCAGATTTCGTGCATAAGATAATGGCCATTGGAATCCCAAATAATTCACCCGAATTCCATCTCATAGCATGGTGGCAATCAGGCGAAGCGAATAGTGCAATCAAAGTAAGAATATTTTTATTTATTTTATTTGCAAAGTTCATTTTTAATGTGATTATTTATAAAAAACAGCATTTATATGTGCGGATAGGGGAATCTAATTTTCCATAGCCAGGTTGTGCCTAGGGGAAGTAGGGTATAAAGGAAGATATACGAATTTTGTTGCATATAAACAACAACACAAAAGCTGACAAAAATCTAGTTCAAAAGCGCTCGAACTAATTACTTGCAATACTTGCCACCTGTAAAAAATCTGGAAACAAGCAAAATTTTGATTAACTAGAAATAAGCACGAAGAATCTCTATATACAAAAGTTTCCAGCTGAGGCACTGCTTATAATTTTATAATTGATGTACAGAGTTTCATGCTTTCATATTTTATCTTGCAAGATTTTTTTTGAAATATTCAATTCTCAGCAAATAAAGCACAGATCAAATTTGTAAAATCAAGAATTGAATCTCTATATAAAGATATATATAAAAGAAACAGATAATAAATAAAGACTGCACGATTTCCGCTCATTTATGCTACTTTTTAATGCAATGCATTTGGCTAGGAGAAGCACACAAAATTAAGGGATGGATAGGTGAGTGGGCGATAATCGTGATTGCCATGCTGCACAAAATCACATTGCGAGCTGCTGTTGCTGCTGCTGCTATGAAATACCATGGAAACAAGCCAATCCGCACGCCACACCAGAAACAGAACCAGAAGCAGAACCAGAATGGACACAGACTGGGACTCAGACACTCAGACCTAAAGCAGGAGCAAGTCAGGCCACGAGCATAACGTGCAACTTTCCAGCTTTCGCCGCAATCAATTTTACGGGTGCACAACAACAGCAACAACATGAATTAGAGCAACCCCGTGCAGAGAAACCAACCCAAGCCCTAGCCCAAAAAACCGAAAACCGAAAACAGAAACCCAAGCTCAAACCAACTCGATGCGACACGATTCAACCACATTCACACATATGAAGGGCCAAACGGCGTTAGACACGCAACACGAACATCGCCCAGCACGTGGTCCAGCTCACATGAAGGTATTAACGCGTAACAACATCGCTGCATGATTAACCTCCTACATTGGGATGCGCCCGGCGAACGGGCATTGCCTAGCATTATGTGGGCGTGCCAGTGGTCAGCCATGACTCTGCGGGGCTAGCTTTAGCCATGTACTAGGCGAAGCTTAACGTCGAGCACCTATGACTATGGCGACAACAGTTACATAGCTAATCACCTGACACCTCCTCAGCCAACAACGTCAAAAACGGCATCAGTTGAATGCCCAGAAAAACTGAAAGGTCAACATCTACTAAGCATGTCCGAAATGTCTTTGTTCACTTGGTTCATGTTTAACCTTACATGCAAAAATATTACTAGTCAACACTCTTCAAAAACAATACGAATTTCTTAATATTATTATGAAACCTGAACGAATATGTTGAAAAAGCATACAAATTTTTCTTAAAAAGACATTATTTTATACGAGTTACCAAATATAATTTAAAGTTGCTGAACAAATTTGTTGATTAAAAAATAAATCTTCCAAGAAAGTAGACAAAAAATTAATTTTTAATTTAAAAAATTGTTTACATTTTTTTAATATCAAAAACAAAATCTATCAAGATATAGAACTGATTGTGCGTTAATAGGAATATATGTTAGGACAATTCAGACATAAGCATGAGCTAACTTCTAATTTGAATAAAAAATGAAAAAACTAAGTAATACTACTAAACATACTAGATATGAAAGCTGTGAACAAGTTTACATTCGAACTGATTCGAACTGGAAACTCCAATTTGAAGTCCAAAAACAAAATCAGCAGACGAAATAGAGATGAACTCAAGCCTAAGCCAAAACAAAAAAAATGTTTAATTTATTATTATTATCAATATTATTATTATTAAAAATTATAATAAATTCTGAGCATACAAAGATAACCAAGTTAAAATTAAATTAAATCAGGTACCTCGCTAGAATAATTTAAATGACATTAAATAATGGGATGGGATGGGACGATATGAAACATCTATTTTAGATGTTGCTGCTTAATGTTTGAGGTTTGTTGCATCCCAACAGCCTTATAATGACAGGAACTCCTTGAACGGATGCATCACCCAGATAAAAAATGCCAACATAAGCACTCTCACCAGCTTGGCCAATGGCTTTTATGGCCCCTTCTATACGTGCATTAACATGACTAAGTTCTATGGCTGAGACCCTAAGAGCGATACTGTCGCTGCTCGGATAGGAAATTATATAAGAGATGCTATGAGATTTAAAATAGATCCCCATTGATCGCAAAGAATTGAACAAATGTCACCAAGGAGCAGCTAACTTAAAGTGTTTTTAACACATCCCTTCTGTTCGTCTTCGTCTCCACATATGTTTGATAATACGATTATTTTAATAATGGTAATAATTACTGATTTTAATCAACTTAATAGCAGTAACTTATTTGTAAAGTTGAGTAACATGTGACCAAAGCCGTAAAACACAAACTTAAGCAAATCTCAAAAATGTTAATAAGGAAATTTGAATTTCGCGCGCAGTTAACAGTGAGTTAACAGCATTTAACTTAACAGTTCATATGAGCATAAGGGAGCGTGTTAACTAACCATAAATAATTATGATTTCAATATATTCAAACTTATTTCTACTGTCGGAAGTGAAAAAAACTATTTTGCACATTACATTTTTAAATTTATTATAATTTGAATCAATAGAAACAAAAAAAAAAAAACGATAACAAATCAGCTGTTCAATGCAAAATCAAAACAAACAAAGGCAATGGAAATCTATGCTCATAAATAAAACAAATTCAGCAGAAATCTTTTGGAGAATATTATTTTTAAACATTCAAGCACATTTTTTATAAATTAACTTTTCCACAAACACAATTATTAATCGTAAGCAGCTGTTCGCGCCATTTTTCAAACCAAAAAGCAGTACAGAAAATTAATAATAAATACTGCAAATTTTGTATGATTTCATAATAAGCTTATCTTTCGCTTATTTGTGAAGCAAAATCAAACTTAAAATATTTATTCGAAATATGCCAATTGATGCGTAACATTCGATATCTCGATACACACTATCGCTTGGCAATCAATAATGTTATCGATATGTCTATCGTTTCGCAGTCTTGCAAATACGCGTTTACTGAATAGTATTTATTAAATGTGCCGTGGCTTCGACGTGTCAGTTCGTAGTTAATAATTCGCTGAGCTAGTCGCATATACCAAGAGTCTGACACGCGTACAAATCAATCGACAGAGTTGAAAACACTTTGCCATACAACAACAGCAACAACGAAAACAACAATAATTAATACAGCAGCATGGCGGAAAAAGTAAATGTTTGCATCGTGGGCTCTGGCAACTGGTGAGTGCACTAAGAACAATAACAATGTCATTAGTTATATAATAATTGCATATTGCACCTTGGCATTTTGAACCTTGTGCAGGGGTTCGGCCATAGCGAAAATCGTGGGCGCCAATGCGGCCGCGCTGCCCGAGTTTGAGGAACGCGTCACAATGTTTGTCTACGAGGAGATGATTGATGGCAAGAAGTTAACGGAAATTATCAATGAAACGCACGAGAATGTTAAATACCTGAAGGGACACAAACTGCCAACAAATGTGGTGAGTACAAAAAAAGCGCAAAGTCATATATAACTGTGGCGGCTAACTGTTAATTAAAATCATCAACATAAAAAAATGTGTGAAAAAAAAAACCGCCTCTACTGTTATGCAATTGATTAGTATTAGTTTTAGTGCAATTATTAACAAATGCAGCGACGTCTGCTGCAGCTGCCCCTTACATAAAAGACGCCGCTGCCTTGATCTTGGCCGTCGTATTTACGTCAAATTATCTAATCAGACGAATGCGCGGACGTACTGACGGGACATGCACATGCAGCTATTTTTACAACTCACTTCGCGCACTCTCTCTCTCTCTCTCGCTCTCACACACTCTTGGCCAACGCTGCACTTTTTTTTTGTCAGGGCCAATAACAACAACAAAAACAGTTTCGCCTTGCTCTGACGTCTGCACACAAACGAAACCTTCTGCCAAGCTGGCAGTGACAGTTCTGCCGCTGTGTCTTTGACGTAGGTCAAGGCCGGCTTGACGTGCGCGCCACGCACTCTCTTATGCTTTCTCTCTTAATTGTTGTGCGCTTGGCTTAACCTAGGAGAAACTTATAGCACAGTCGACAGCAACTGTAACAGTTAGACAGATCAATGTTGTCCTAATACATTTATACAGAAATGCACACATACATAACAACAATTTGCACAGCTGAACTGATAAGAGGAGCAACTTGACTGTTTGCATTCACTTGATTATAGATAAGCCGCTTTGTTAGCAGGTCATGTTAAACACGCTATTTTAGTTGTTTCGATAAGGTACCGACTAATAGATATGTAATGGCCTGTACTACATTTCGATTCGGATTGAAAGGCAATAACAAATACTTGCGAATTGTTTTCGTTATGTTCGAATCATTTTCGAATAGTTTTTTATGATGTTTAATGAAATAAAAATGATTTATATTGCCAATTACTACTAACTCTAACTATTTAAGACGTCTAGATTTGTTCAGATACAATATATTTAATTATTAATTAAATGGAAATTTTCCGTGCGAGCTAATTCAGCTAATTTATCAGTAGAAGCAGCATTGATAAAAGAGAAAAACAAATTAAATCGTTTCTATGTCTGTTCCTATTGTGTTTCTATATAATTTTACGCCAGCGCGGCTATATGTGTATATGTGTGCATACCCACATATATACCTAAATTTATATAGCTATGCTTTTTGGCAAACTTTCAATAGTGAAAGCAAAAACAAAAACTTTTTTTTTTTATGTAGCTTATAAACAAACAACCATGGGCCAATGTCAAAAATGCAGGCAAATATGCAAAGCATTTGTAAAATCAAAAGTTAAACGACTTAAAAATGTTCTTTTTTTTACGAATGCCTTTTTCTAGTTGCCTGATAAGGGAAATAGTAGAAAATCAAGTAAGATATTGTAGCGGAAAATGATTGAGTTTTCTGATAACAATTTGTTTGTTTTCTAATCTATTTTTATACCCTAATACTTTTGACATGATGTGTGTCATGCATTGGAGGAAAGCATGTTCTACCCTATAACAAAATATATGTATTTGGAATTATAATTTGGGCAAATATTTGGAATATCAATGTGGAAACTTGACTTTAAATAGAAATTTAAATTACGCATCAAAATACAACAGCTTTCTCATACAAATTCACAAATGTTTAGTCTATCATTAACTCAATTTCGTATTCAAATAATTAAATTATTGTGTCATTTAGATGAAAGATAGTTCGTATTTATTATGCACATGATTAGAGGTGGGTTTGGCAATTATTTATGTGACTTTAAACACAATTAAGTTTTTGCACAGTTGATTATCAACAACAAATGCAAATGATGAACTTTTTACAGGCAAACGAATTGATGAAATGCATTTAGTTCCAACCTATTAAACTTTGTGCTTGTCGCTTTCGTTATGGAAAATGTTTTCGCAATAACAAAAAGCAAATTTTGCATGATTTATACCCTAAAATGTATAAAAACAATTGGGTATAATGTTTCGTTGCAAATGTATGTAACAGGCGAATAGAATATATATATTTGATCAGGAATCAGATTCTGCCTAGATATGTGCCTCTATAGGAACTTGCTGTGATCTTAAACTATAATACAAAGGCTAAAAACAAGCCTAACTCGGGGTCTATAAGAGATAAGACATAATATATTTAATATTTGCATCATGTTGTATATCGTTGCGCTTTGTTATGCGTATTGTATTGTTCGACATATTTAAGTACTGAAAATCTCATAAAGATCTGACTATAAACAGCGCAGTTATAAAGGAACGCAGTTTCTATAATATGAGGCTGAGAAAAGAAGAAGCACAACCCCAACATATGTTCGCTAGATTTGGGACTAGCGCACTCTTGTTAAAAGTAATTGGCTTTCTTTTTAGATTGTTTAATATGTATAAATTTAAAGTTCAATTATTAGCAGAGTTTGGGTTTTTTTGCTCAAAAACTGGTTTTCTTATCTACAGCGAATATAAATCGCAAAAAGAAAGACATAATACGCGAGATAGATATCTCGCCTGAACTTTATACCATAAGTGTAAGCCTTATATAATTCTTATAAACAAGTTTCCAACACAAGTTTGTACAAGCCGATTGATAATTAATTCAAATAAGCAAATGAGTTTTGCCAGGGTCCAGTTGAGAGACAAGCCTCTAAAATGGAATGCACGTGTGTTTCAAGTGATTTCCGTAGAGATTTCAAAGTTTCCTTCATTCAACCTTGAGCATTGTGTTTGGTTTGTTCTATTGGCCGCTTATCAGAGTAACTTTGGCCGCTTATCGGAACATTCGCTTGGCGTTTTTATTGATGCACACACACACACAAACACCTTTCGCATTTAGTTTGTTTAAGTTTTCTCTCGCTCTCTCTCTGTTTTTTTTATAGGTTGCCGTACCTGATCTGGTTGAGGCTGCCAAGAATGCCGATATACTGATCTTTGTGGTGCCACATCAGTTCATACCAAATTTCTGCAAACAATTGCTGGGCAAGATCAAGCCAAATGCCATTGCCATATCCCTGATCAAGGGCTTCGATAAGGCCGAGGGCGGCGGCATTGATCTGATATCGCACATTATTACCCGCCATTTGAAGGTAAGCCCCAATTTGAGAAGATGATCTTATGCAATTGTTAGCTAATCTTGCTTCTATTATCTACAATCAGATACCATGCGCCGTGCTGATGGGCGCTAATCTGGCCAACGAGGTGGCCGAGGGCAACTTTTGCGAGACGACAATCGGCTGCACGGACAAAAAGTACGGCAAGGTGCTGCGTGATCTCTTCCAGGCCAATCATTTTCGTGTCGTGGTCGTTGAGGATGCCGATGCCGTTGAGGTTTGCGGTGCCCTGAAGAACATTGTTGCCTGTGGTGCGGGCTTTGTCGATGGTCTCAAGCTGGGCGATAATACTAAGGCAGCGGTCATTCGTTTGGGTCTTATGGAAATGATACGCTTTGTCGATGTCTTCTATCCGGGCAGCAAACTGTCCACATTCTTTGAGAGCTGCGGTGTTGCGGATCTCATCACGACGTGTTACGGTGAGGCGTCGCGGGAATGAATGATATGAATGCACATCTTTAATTCATGTGCAAACATTTTCCAGGTGGCCGCAATCGTCGTGTCTCCGAGGCTTTTGTCACATCTGGCAAGACAATTGAGGATCTGGAGAAGGAGATGCTCAATGGCCAGAAATTGCAGGGCCCGCCCACTGCCGAGGAGGTTAACTATATGTTGAAAAACAAAGGCCTGGAGGATAAGTACGTACCACTTTGTATATCCAAGCTAAAATCGTATTTAACTAAATGTTTATATTTCTATATTTGCAGATTCCCATTGTTCACCGCCATACACAAAATTTGCACAAATCAGCTTAAGCCTAAAGATTTAATCGATTGCATACGCAATCATCCCGAGCATATGTAAGTGTTGAGTTTCTTCTTTATTTTGTTTGTTTGCTTTTTGCACAGCTGCACATGATATCTCCAAGAGTTCCGTATTACTTTCCCGTAAATCCCTTCCTGTCTATGCCTACGCCCCACACACACGAACACACAACCTTTTGAGTTTTCCCGTATTTTGTGTTTAATTTGCAATTGAATTTCCTTTCTTGTAACAACAAATTTATGTTAATTTTTTGTTTTTACTTATGCCTATATATATTTAGTTTTATGCACTCCTAAATAACTTTTAGCATGTTTTGTTGATTTAATATATACTTTTGAATAAGTTAACACTTTAATATAACAAAATATGAAAAATAAAACTCAAACAAAATTCTAAATTTTCAAAATTGTAAAATACTTTCAAAAAAAGTTTTTAATAATATATATTTTTCTTTTAGAAATTATCGCTCATTCCCAATTCCTATTCACAGTAGCTCATACATATAAACCCTACATCTAATCCCAATCCACCTAATAGAACCTGCATATCATGTACATTTCTAAAAAAAAAAAAGCAAAAAAAAAACGACTTTTATGTTTCATCAACAAAACAATTTGTTTTCTTCTCTTCTTTTTTATATGATTTCTCATAGGGATACGTTCATCATGCCGTCGCCAAAACTCTAAACTGTGTTACACCAAAACAAATGTTCTAAAAGTTTAATTCGATTGTAAATACTATTTGTTTATATATCAAGTCAAGTCAAGTCATACACTCAATATTATCATGCACACACGCACACACACGCGCATTTGCAACCGATACGTAGTCGAAAATCGTTTCCTTCGCCAAGCTCAACACGCATTTTATAATTCTACTCGATTCTATTTAAAATGGTTTTCAAAAACCGCCCAATTTGTTTTTACCAATGTATGTGTTCATAGGTGAAAATGTCAGTGTCATATATTTGTTAAACATGAATAAAGTATTTATATATTGTTTTTGTTCTGTACATATCAAAAGAAAAAACGCATAATTAGGAAAAATACTTATTTTTGAAATGAAACATATTTTTTGAAGAAATTGGCAGCTATACAAATCGGCAGCGAGCAGTACGTATCAAAATTTGATATATTATTAATTAATTGAATTTTACGTTATTTGTTTAACTCACGTTTGTATTTGAATGCAATTTGAAATGTTACGCTTATTAAAGCCAAGCACTTTTATAAATAATGAGTTTTGTTTTCTATTCCGCAGGCAAACTTTGTAAAATATATTAATACACAAATTTCTAAACGTTTTTATGCACCAAAAACAAATAAGAAAACACGAGCAAATAGTCATTTTTTCAGCACACATTTTAATATCCTCAGACGCCAGCCAACGACAAGAATGGCATATACATAGGTTGTTAATTTATTGTTAAAATCCAACGCATATCCAGCGAACCACAGAAACGAACAAAAACCAATCTTGAAGTCTGCTTTTTGTTTTAGCTTAGTTTATAAACGATAAATTAGCAAATGAAATTGTGCGCATGTACCTAAAGACAATTGTAAATCAATTTTACAATTACAATTGAAAACAACAGAAGAGGCGTAATAAACGAAACAACAATGGTTTAATTTAAAAATTAACAACTAAGACATACGGAATTTTATTTGCATTAGTTAATTCTACTGCAATCTAAAGTCATAAATAAAATGTAAAATAAAAAATGTGTTAAATAAACAAAATACAAAAAAAAAAGTACTCTACATTTATTTTGGAATAGATTTTATAAAGGCCGCAGAGAGTGTTTAAACCGAACCGACTTGATGCAGATCCGGGCTGGCGCCTTGAAGTTTGTCAAAAATTTAATTTTGAAACAACATTTTACTAATATGCATATCAAGTTTTGAGCTAGAAGCTGGGCTTGGACATGTGGAAAATCGACAAAACGACAAAACGCTTCGCACCGTGAGCCGAACTACAAAAAAAGGTCATAGGTTTGCAGCCTTAGTTTTCATAGCATATTCTTTACTTGGCGCCTTAGTTCAAATATACGTGCGAAACTATCGATAACTCTTACATTTGCGTATCGATTATTGCCGAACAGCTGTTGGCCTGACATTTTGCAACACTTGAAATACAACTCTGTGTTTACGTTTCTCGCTGACTGTTCGTTTTTTTTTTTGGCAATAACAAACGTTTTTTTCTTTTGCCCAGTGGAATATTTTAGCTACACAAAACAAGAATAACGCTCAATAATGCTGTTAAATAGCTGCATAATTGTATAAAAATCAATATCTGTATATACGTATTTGTTGAATATGTGGCATTGTGCGTTTACTCTGCACTGGACAATGGCGTCATAAATGCCTTTGTGTATTTTCATAGGGGCAGTAGCCAAATCATAAACATCAAAATAGGATTAGGTGAACTACGTGAAATGCCAGCTGCAAATTTTGTTTGTGTGTGTGTGTGTACGTACGAATGTGCTTATTAATATATTGTTGCTGTTGTTGTTGTTTTTTTTTTCAGTTGACAGACGTAAAAATCTGCAACGCATAAAGCTGAAACACCTTGGCTAATAACAAAACGCAGTTGAAAGCAATAATTTAAATTGAACAGACGCTTTATGGCCTTCGATTTGTAGTCAATGAGATGGACCCGCAAAAGATCACCGAATTGGCCAATTTGCTGCGCAAGAATGGTGATAAAATCCTGAGCTCCGAATTTACCTTGACCTTATCAGGTGAGCAGCAGCAGCAGGCATGGACGGGCATGCGGGTGAGACATGACCGCACCCACCAGTTGCTTTGTTCTAAGCTCGGTCTGCTTATCAGCTTAACCCATTTTCTTAATCTCACACACATGCACTCAAACAATTGCAGGTCCGCTGCTGCGTGCTTTGAACGATTCCTTTACTTTGATTGCGGACAGCGATATTGTGGCTGGAGCGGGCCTTGGCCCAACCCAGAAGCACCAGCATGCGTTTCAGGTGGTCAAACCCATCAATGCCAAGTCGAGCGTGTTTCCGGATCTGCAGCTGCTTCATGATTTCGTGCAGAAGACAACGTTACTGAAGCTCAACTATTTCCCCACCGATCATTACTTTGAGGGCGCCATCGACATATGCAAGTTTCGTGCGCTGCGTCGCCTCGAGGTGCACAAGATCAACATATGCCAGGTGGTGGGAATTCAAGCGCTTCGCGCCCAGCTTCAGCATTTGATATGCATCAAGAGTATAAGCAATGTGGAGGATATCATAACGCATTGCGGCGGCGATAATTCGAATGGTTTTGTCTGGAACGAGCTGCAGTCCGCGGACTTTAGCTACAACAATTTGCGTGCAGTGGACACGGCTCTGGAGTTCGCCCAGCACTTACAGTATTTAAATTTGCGCCACAACAAGCTGACCAGCGTTAGGGCCATCAAGTGGCTGCCGCATCTAAAGACGCTCGATCTGAGCTACAATTGTCTGACGCACCTGCCACAGTTTCATGTGGAGGCCTGTAAACGACTGCAGATGCTCAACATAAGCAACAACTATGTGGAGGAACTGCTCGATATGACCAAGCTGGATGCGCTAACTACCATGGATTTGTCAGACAATTGCCTGCTAGAGCACACGCAGCTGCTGCCGCTGAGCGTTCTAATGACGCTCACCACGCTCAATTTGCAGGGCAATCCCCTGGCCTGCCATCCCAAGCATCGACTGGCCACGGCACAGTATTTGCACAAGAATACGGCGACTGTGAAATTTGTGCTGGACTTTGAGCCGCTATCAAAGGCCGAGAAGGCATTGACTGGCAGCCAGCAGTTGCGCTTTGTGGGCACCATGAGTCATCGGCTAGTCAGCAGTTATGTATCCATTAATAGTTCACGTGCCTCCATCAATACGCCAGCTTCTAGTGTGGGCTCGCAGCTTTCGCTCTCGGTCAGAGGCAAGGATTCATCGTCCGAGGCAGAACAAGCGCCAGCGGATCTGCAAATTAGCAAAAAACGCACTAAAAAGCAACGCACTGTGGAAATCGCTGAACATGGCGAGGAGACGGCAATAGAAGCAATTACCACAGTCGCAGCCCCCGAGGCAAATAGTCTGTTACAAGAGAGGCCACAAGAGACCACAGATGGCAGCCACTTGGAGACGAAAAAGCAAATTGAGACACTGCGTCTCAAGTATGGCAACGAGTGGCTGCAGTCGGGCAATGCGGAGCTAATGCTAGGCATTGATACGCCACAGCCCAGCGAACAAGCGCGTCACGTGGCACGCCAGCAGTTCAACGAGTTCCTGGGCGAGTTCTCGTCGGCAGCGCAACAGGCCGAGTCGGAGCCAGAGCTGCTAAATATCAGCTCCACGCCCACGAACAACAGCAATTGGAAGGTTGGATTTGAATCAAAATTGGCGCCCAACAATACAGATGGCAGCCCCACGGATGCCGCCAACCTAACACAGCAAACAGTTTACGAGTCGTGCGACAGCAGCATTCAGACCCAATATGAGAGCACGAACGATACAATGCAGGAGGAGCAAACGGAGAAGGACGAAGTGCAGCAGCAAGAGATTGACAAGCACAAGGAGGTGCTAAGTCGCTATGCAGCTGCGAGCGCTGAGCAGGACGAGGAACCAGGTGAAATCCTCGCGTATGTTGCTTTAAGAACCGAACCTAAAATCTTGTTTTCTACTCTTTCAGTTTCCGAAGAAGAGCCCGATGAGAAGCTGTATATTGTCTACCAAGCGCACAAGACCAGCGAGCCCTTGTTCCTTACCATATCCTCGAATTATATACGAGAAAAGGATGCACTCAGCGAACGGTTTGTGTTTGACTTCTATATAGCACATTGATATATATTATTTAATTATAACATATATTTACTATCAGCACCAAGACCAAATGGAGCATCAAGGTTTTGGAGTCTTGTGAGCGAATCAAATCGAATACGCTGCGCATTAATTTTGATACAATGCAAAAGGACAAACAGGAGCGCGTTTATTGTGTGGAGAATGCATTATGTCAGGTATATGGGAGATATATAGCAATTCATATCGAAACAATTAATAAAACTGTTTACACTTAGGAACTTGAGAAGAAACTACGCGACATTCTGTCCCAACGTGATCTCACCGATATGAACATAACCATTTATAGCTGCATCAATTGTGGCATTAAGTTTACCAGAGAGCGCAAAATCAAGAACTACAAGACAGCGGGTACAATGAGCCACAGTGGACACTAACCAAAATCGATTTTGACTGCAGTTTTAATTATTTTTTTTTGACAGAGCCACGTTGTCCGGACTGTCGCAGCTTGTTCGTCGCGGAGGTGAACGATGATGCAACCGGCTCGCTGGACAAGCCCAAAGTGTCCAGCATGGAGCCGAAGCTGTCGCCAGCATTAATTGTGGAGGAATCGCCAGTGAACACGCCGCTGGTATTGCAGTCCAAGGAGGACAATCAAAGTATTGGCAAGTTCTTTTCTAGTCTTCTATACTATATCTAGCAAATTATGGAAATAATTTATGAAAAAAATCAAAACCAACAAAAACAAATACATTTAACATATAGTTTTGTGTAACATATTCCAATGTATTTCGGTTTTGTGAGCTGCTTTTAGTTTACATTTCTTGTAGTTATGATTTTGGCTATTTGTTAAAATTCGTTTAATCGTATTTGATATTGTTTTTAATTTAATTTTTTATTTCTTTTTCTTTTTGCATGCTATCAATTACAAAACCCAAACACACACACACACAAACACACACACGCCCATATATATATCACACGTAAATCAAATGGCAAAATGCGACTTAATCTAACTTTTGTATATTTTTATATATTCTTTTTATATACTTTTCGCTCATCCAACTACAACAACAACAACAACCTTCTACAATTGTTAAATACTATTTAATTATTTAGTGGCCAACAGCAGGCTCATCGCTAATAACACACCCAAGCGTAGGAGTTTGATGCAAACCACAAAAAGTTAATATTCCAATTGTATTGTATTTCGAATTTTCAATTTCTTTTCCTTTGTTGTTTAACAGCAATTTGCATTTGGCTTCTTGTTGTAAATGTGAAGCAGCATTTGGGCAGCATGAAAACAAAATTAACAAATCAATTTATACAGCTAACAACAGTAAAATCTATTCAAAATTTTTGTAAACAGCTAACGCACCATTTAAGCTACAATCACTAAAGAGAGACAGAGAGCAAAGCAATGCTGCTTCCATTAGAGATTATATATTATATTGAGCACTATTCCAAGCCCAACTAATGCTTGTCCATTTCTCCACAGGCTCGGCCAATTCGCTAAATGAGAGCAGCTCCTGCTCGAAGATAACCAACTCGCAATGCTCCTTTGACTCGAATCAGTCGGTGGTGGGCAGCTCCAATACAGAGCGCGATTTGGAGTTTCGTGCGAATGAGAGCGATGTGGACATTATATCCAATCCGAGCCAATCCAGCATTGAGGTGCTGGATCCCAACCTTGTGCAGAGCGCCAGTCGCAAAACCTCCGAGGAGCGTCGCATATCCCAGATCCCGAATCTGCAAACCATTGACAATCACCAAAGTCAAACCCAAAGCTTCATTGAACGCGAGTTTGGGCAATTGCTCGCCGAACAGGCCAGAGCACAGACAGTGTCAATGCAGGCAACGATATCCAATGTGGACGCAACGGCGAAGGCCAAGGCCTTGGCTCACGTCCAGCTAACAGAGAGCAGTTCGTCGGGTTCGGTGACCGACAGCATTTGCACCACCTACGAACAGCAGGCCAAGCATCAGCCGCCGGAGAAGGCTCAACGGCAGGCAACGGACGATGCCATCATTCTGCACAATATGTTGCTGGCCGAATCTGGCGGAAGCACGAGTCAACAACACAACAACAACAACTATGAAGTGACGGCCGCAAATGGTCATCATGAAACGAAACATTTAAAGACAGCCGAAGATGCGGGCCTATCTTCCATGTTTGGCGGTATGCAAAACAAATATTTAAACTATTTTGTAACCATATATGTAAGAGTTTCTTGAGAATTGAGAAGCGCATAGATGATAGATGTTTAAAAGGATTATCGACAAAAAGAGAGAGAACTGCAGTGAAAGTAATAATAACATCAAGAGATAGGGTTGGGTTAATAGTTTGTAATAATAATACTCAAAATATGTTTTTGATAACAGCTTAGCAATAAGTAAACAGAATTCACTCATGAAATTAATCATAATCTTTCACATTTACAGCACTTTTTCAATCGACCAACATGCTAATGTCCAGTTCGAAGAAGCTGATCGAAACGGAGGCCAGTGCAGGCGCAATTCAGCCATATAAATTTAATTATAGCGACTACAATGACATCGATCATCGCTTGAAGCTCTATTTCTATCAGAGCAAGTTCAAGGAGGTGGGCGAGCACTTCAAGTGGCTGGCCAAGGGTCGGATATACAATGAGCAAACGCAAACGATGCGCGATGGCTTATTGGTAATGTCCACCTGCAAGTGCTATCTGATGGAAGCGTATGCGCCGCCACAGGATGATGTCGCCAAGTGGCTGCGTCAGGTGGTTAGCGTAACAGTGAATCGTCTAACACGCATACAGTTGCTGCCCTGGAAACTGGGCTTGTCTTTTAGCCTACGCCACTGGGGTGGCTTTTTGCTAATTTTACAGGATATGCTGCGCACAAACAGTTTACTGGCGTACCTGGCAGGTAAGTGAAGTGGCTAAGCTACACTATATTTGCTCTACGTTCGCTTCTGTTTCGCTAGACAACCCGCTGCCCGCAGAGTGTGAGCTGATCCAGCATCCGGCACATGCGGTGCGTCAACGACTCAAATCGCTGATGGCTGAACCGATTAGGATGTGCGCCGTGCTCAGCGGCTGCCAGTGGATATGTGTTCCGGAGAAGCGCAGCTTTGAGCTCTGCACGCTGCTGACCACCGATACGCAATTGCATATTGCCGGCAATGGAAAATTCAATTGGCTGACAGCAAACGAGGAGCAGCCCATTGAACTCACGCTCACGCAGCAGATGAGCAATCTGGTGGAGGTGGAACGTATTACGGATTGCGAGTACAATGTTAATTTTCTGGATGAAACCGAAAACAAATGCGAATTGTGGCATTTGCAGTTTGAGACACTGGCGAATGCCGAGTGCTGTCTGGATGCCATTGGGAAATCGTGGGAGAAGCTATTTGGCGTGCCATTTAGCTACTCCGGTACGTAGTATTCGTCTATTAGTGAGGGACCAACTATATTCATATCATATCAAACCAGACAAATGTATATATGGCTTACTTTGAATATGTGAAAATTTAAAATTGAATTTTAAGCATTATCTTATCTATTGATCTGCATATATATATCATATTTAACTAAATATATTACAATAATGCCTAGCTTTATAAACTGAAAATATGTATCTATATTTAAAGTGCTTACTTTATGAATCCTGGACAATATTGAGCAACAAGCGAGACATTGTGTATATAGTGAAGTCAAATGTAAACTATGTACAGCAAATAATTCAAATTACGTACGATCTAAATATATCTTAATTGCCAAGAAGGTATGATAACAGCCAAACGTTAATGGAGCATGTTTTGTAATAACATTCATAGTTTATATTTATTTCTAAAATATTTATATTTTCGCAAGTATTTTCTTCATGTTGAACTTAAAAACAGGTTTTGAATCTTTTAAGTACCGAAGCTTAAAACGCAGGCTTTTCCATTTCCTAAATATATTTCAAGTTATATTTGCTTAATCTATAGTCCTAGCAGCTATTCAATAATGGGATCGGGCGCAATATTATATGTATTGCCATTGACTTTATAAAAAACGTTATTGTTATATATATTAATAAAATTTCGAGTATACGACAATTAAACGACATAATTCTTAGATTTTCATTTAGATGATGTTCTCAACATCCTCTATCAAGTGTTTTATGTTTCAGAAAGAAATATCTAACATATTTTCTAAATTGTGGAAATGTGGAAATGGAAAAGTACATAGTTTTTGTGCGAAAAACTCTTACATCACAGCATTATTCGATTTGTGGACAAAATCTAAAATCCTCGGCAAAAGTAGAACAATATGGACGTGCCTTCTGAAATATTGTCAATGTACTCTTGTCCAATATAGAAATATACATGATTAAAGTTATGAAGATAAATCGCTTGGAAGCATAATAAAATTTCAAGACACATTTGCGCATCTAGTGTACGTTAGATGGCGCTGCTTGAGCCCAACATCACATAGAGGGCGTCACGTGTACCAATTTTTCACCTAAACTAACTAAATTTTTCTAAATTAAACTAAAATTTTTCAACTAAACACCTAATGAATCGAATGATTTAATAAAAATCTGTTATTGGCATTAATTATTTGTGCTTTGTACATTTATTAATTGTACTTGAGCTTTACATTTCAATTTTAACAATTCGCGCCACCTAGCTAAAGTATGTACAATACCCCTAAACTCTCTCAATTGTTTTACTTGTCGCCCAATTGTTCGGCTATCCAATCGAGATGTTCCTCCTTATAGCGCGGATCGGCCATAATCAAAGCTGTTGACTTGGATGTGTAGTAGTAGAAAACCGACACTATTAAATATTATCAAAAGATAAACGTTCGTGTTTTAAGAAAACTTTTAAAAACTTGCAACTTACTCAGGCGCTGCAGCACCGTTAAGGCATAGAGGGCCAACGGCCATTGCTGAGCGGATTCTGAGGCAGACAAACGATACTGATAGACAGTCCAGGAGTGCTGTGAGGCGGACAGCAGAAAATATACCGTAATGCTGAACAAAAATAGCTTGCAATTGCGCAGGATAATGTGGGAGGCGCCCACCTGATAGACGCAAGTCGAATGTAGCGCCAGTGTGAACAGCAGATATTCAACAATAATGAACGCGTCCTGAATGCTTTTCCGTGAATAAGGAATATTTTTAAGATAACATATATTAAGTCTGACAACTTTTGTCACTCACACAAAAAAGAATATCGCCGTTTGCAGCTTATCCCGCGACAGCCAAGAGCCAAAAGCATTGAAAAACAAATCGGCAGCCAGCAGAGCCAATTGCAATGCAACTAGCCACGAATAACGGCGCAATGTTAATTTCATATTTAATTTTATTACTATTATTAAATAATTTCTTTAAAACTGCTCGCAGTTCGGTCGTGAACTTTGTTTTGTTTGGCTTGCCTATGTTGTGTCCTTCGTCCTAGTGACGTCAAATGCGCCCACGCGAGCATGCGTGTGGAATGCATGCTAATCGACTATCGATAAGCCTATCGATATGTCAACTGCGGCACTGCGATTGTTATGAACAACATTTTGCAGCTGTTCACAAAAGTAACAGTTGATAAATGGGAGAACGCACTCTAAAGCTGATACCTAATATAGCAAGTGTCCAATATCAAAATACCAATCAAAAATCAATTTTCATGTATATAATCTCAAGCTTTTCCATATACGACTAGCTGATGCCCAAATGTTTAACGAAAATCATTGGATTACTCTCTTTTACTCTCCCCCTCTCTCTCTCTATGCGGCTAGGGCAAATTGATGAGCGCCATTTTGGTATGCGTGAAAAGTTTTAGCGCCAAAATGTAGCTACATATGTATATACGTGTTCTTGTATTCCTTTTTTAAGGATATTTAAATAAACATATGAACATACCAACATGACCCGTAAATAGCTGGAAAACTGATATGTAGAAGATTAACACACGAGTACACTACACACACTAATCGTGGTTTACACCACATAGACAACTTTGATTTGTTGAAAAATATACGAAAAAAAAGAATAAAAAAATAACACAACAACACACGCGCACAAGCTTCACCCGATCATTAATGCAGACGCGCACAAACTAAATCATCTTATTAAGCTCGCGCTATGCTCACTCCTTGAGCCAGCGCTCTTGCCTGGGTGCACAACTAAAGTAACGGGATCAAAAGCATCGCCGCCATTAACGTAAACGCAGGCGACAAATAAGTTATATAGCTCGCCTTTCTATACGCGCTCTGTGCAGGTAGCTGCTGCCTGCAGTATAACATATAACATACATACGTATAACAGAATCAAATGCATCCGCAACAATGGCCATTCAACGGCAAGAAATGTCCACTCTTTGTATTTAAGCTCATTGCCAGCAGATAAACCGTCCTACTGCACTAAATGCATACATACATACATACTTTTGTCTCTTTAAATATGTATGTGTGTACATATACTGACAACTTTATGGTCAAGCTCTTTAATGCGATGAAATTTAATTGAAATTAAATTAAATAATTAAATATGAATTTCTTGGAATTCACGGAATTGTTCAACCAAATTTAAGTATTTATTTAGAGCTTTTCTTTAAACTTTTAAATAAAATGAAATAGCTGCAACTAAGAAAAGTGCTCGATTAAATTATGTGAATTATGTGATGATTCAGATTAATTAATGTAATTAAAATTTTATAAAAAAAATATTTATTTTTATTTCTTCAACCCATTGTTAGGTATATATCATGTGTGCTTAAATATTGACTTAAGCTTTCCATTTAAAATAGCTTGAAAACATATTAAGTATATTAAATTGATTTCAATTAATTTCATTGCGCAACGATTTTCGACATAAGAGCAAAAGATTTATTCCCAAATTGTTTTTGTTGGGTTCTTTAAATATTATTGTTAGAGATATCGCGCATATTCGAATGGATACGACCGGGCTCTGCGCAGATCCTTTAGGGCGAGCCTGGAGTGCCTGCGAAATCTCACATAGTATTGTTGATTCAATTCCGAGTAATAGTTGCTGGGCAACAGATGTGTCCAGCTGAGCTCCTCTTGATATGGCTCTGGCCGCCGCTCCAGAAACTGTGAAATGCCGGATACGGTTGACGGTTCAGAGTCGACGACGACTTCGGCAGCTGGAAAAACCAATTTCGGGGTCAGCAGTTGCAGCAGCAGCAGCAGCAGCAACAGTCTCGTCAATTTGGCCATTTGGAATTGGTGTTAGCCGGTCAGAGATTCACCCTACACCGTTCTCCTTGGTTATGCTAAACCCAACTGCAGTCCATTTGAGATCGTCAGCAGTTTGTGCTTTTTCGCTTTTCGTTCTTATTTAGTTTTTGGTCTGCATTTTCCAGGTTTCCAACATGCTCAGCGTTTTTCGACAGGGCTATAAAGTGGAGAGCTTCGACGCTGATCCACTACAGTCAACCATTTGGTTCCACTTCGACAGCAAGTAACACGGACAACACCTTCAAATACCGCAATGGCACTCAACATTGGACACGTCTTTCTGGTCACCATGCTGGCCGCGGTCTGCGGCGCGGAGACGATTCAGCTGCAGCCAACGCAAGGCATCCTGATCCCGGCTCCGTTGGCTGAGAACATTCGCGTATCGCGTGCTGCCTATGGTGGCTATGGAGCTCCAGCTGCCGCACCCGCCTATGCCGCTCCAGCTGCTCCGTCTTACGCTGCACCAGCCTATTCCGCACCGGCACCCGCTGCTCAAGCCTACGCTGCGCCCGCTGCTCCCGCCTACTCTGCGCCCGCTGCTCCCGCTTACTCTGCACCCGCCGCTCCCGCTGCGCCAGCCTATGCCGCTCCAGCACCGGCTGCACCCACCGCCTACTCAGCACCCGCCTCCGTTCCATCCCCGCCCTGCCCCAAGAACTACCTGTTCAGCTGCCAACCCTCACTGCAGCCCGTACCCTGCTCTGCGCCAGCCCAATCCTACGGCTCCGCCGGTGCCTACTCCCAGTACGTGCCCCAATACACTGTGCCCTTTGTGCGTGAATTGCTCTAAACGCAATAATTGATCGTCATTTGGCTTACCTGATCCAATAAACTGAAAATATTAAGAGAAAAAAATGCATTATTTTTTTAGTTTTCATATTTCTTGGGTTATGGTTATGGTTATGAATGATTAGCATAATAAGTCTGGGATCTATTTTCTGAACAAATTGGATTTTCACAAATTTATAAAGTCTTCAAAAGAAGACTAAATCTTGGGACAATTGAATCTATGTAAATATACGATTATGATAGATTTACGGAAAAAATAAGATTTACTTAAAATTTATTAGTTTTGATTAAATGAAAAATTATTGAAAAAAAATATGACCAAAAAAGCAGAGATAATATTTATCCAATATTTTTTGAAATTTTAAAACATACAAAATATTAAAAAAGCTAAAAATCTGTTATCTTTCATTCATTTAAAAATTTATACATAAAACATCATATATAAAAAATTTATTTCTAAAAGTAAGTTATTTTTTAATATTAAAAAAAAAAACTTATCAAATTTTGAGCTTATTTAAAGTTGTTTTTATAATTCAATATTTCGTCTTATATTCTGAACGATGCGATAATTTATTTTTAGCACAAATTAATTTGTTATCTAAAAAAGTAGCAAATATTAAAATTCCAATTAAAATTCAATCTGATGTGATAATATTTAAAGGTTGTTTTTCAGCTCTCAGGAAAATATTCCATTAGCTTCTAAAGCAGAATATTAATCACAAATTCGTAAATGTTATTAATTAATATGTTATTTCTTTTAGGCAACATCATCATTAAGTTCTGTCTGATGTTATCTATTCCCACCCCGAATTGTATACACAAACTGTAATTCTTAAGATTCAGTTTTATTTATAGATATCAACAACAGTCCTTTGGTCTCTCAATAGCCACAATTGCCATCTGGCGCTGCACAGGGCACTGGCTTCAGTACCGCGTCGCAGGAGAACACATAGCTTTGGGCACAGGGCGGCGCCTTAATGCTGGGCGCATTGCACTTGGCTGGAATGGCTGGTTGCTCTGGTTGCTCTGGCTGCTCGGCTGGCGCGTAGCTGCGTGCAAAGCCGCTGCTAAAGCCACCACCAAAGCCACCGCTGAAGCCGCTGCTAAAGCCACCAACTGTGCCGCCGCGTCCAAAGCCGCCACGACCAAAGCCGGATCCGGCGCCAAATGGCGGGCCACCGAAAGGCGGCAGACCACCAAAGGGTGGACCCCCAAAACCGCCCGGGCCCAGACCCCCGAAATTGTTCTCCACAATCACCTCTTGCACGATTTGCTGCTGACGTGGCTGGCGCACCAGCAACTCCGCGCTATGCTCCAGCTGCTCCGGCGTGTACAGGCGTACGGGTATGAAACGGAAGAGCTGCCCGGACGAAGGACTGCGCACACAGCGCCCATCGCAATTGGCCAGACATGTCTGCAGTCGATAACAGAAGAGCAGCAGCGGGATTAGCGCCCTTGGTATGCACATATTGAATTGCTACTGAAGATGATGATGATGAAGATAATGATGATGTCGTGGCTAAGTCTTAACACCTGGCTTGACCGTGCTGGCTGCGAAGCTGTAAACTGAGACTGAGCCGGCATTGGGCTCTGGCCAGTTGGTTTTTATAAATGCGATCAGATTTTTGGCAAAATATGCAGCGTTATGCGGAAATGCTGCCAAGCGACAAAACCAACAAATGCTTCAAGGTAACTTGGCCAATTGGGTTAGTTGGTCGCCATGGGCCATGGGCCAAGGTAAATTCTCAGCTCTAATCCCTAGCACACATTCTAAGCATTGTCTGGCCATGTCACGACTGAACCAAATACCTCCAGTCAGCACCTGTGTCTAGCTTCCTCCGGGCCGCCCATTTACATATACTTATATGTTTTTATTTATATTTTAGTTTGGCTGGCTGACCACCTGCAGATTTGGGTTGCCAACGCCATTGTCTTTGCTTATTTTGCAATCGATTCTACTGTCTGTACAAATCCAAACAATAATTGAGGCTAAAAGCAGCTTGGTTCAAAGACCCCAGCCAATAATATGCAATTATGTGAAAATTCTCTGAAGAAAGTAAGAAATCGAAAAAGTGTTTACTACGAACATATAAACAATATGCTGAGCCGACTGTTCGCTTTTTGTAGGTGTTGCTGAAGATTCGGCTAACTTGGCTTTATTCAATAGAGTTCAAAGTGCTTTAAAAAAAACCTATTGTTAATAAATATGCATATACATATTATAATTAAACGAATAATTTGCCCATATTCAGCATATTGAAAAAGTCAGTTCTTCTTATTCATTTTCTCCATTTGTATACCCTTGCAGAGGGTACTTAAATTTTGTCGGGAAACATGTAACGCATAGAAGAAGACGTCTCCATAGACTTTATACTTAATCATTTATTTTATTTTCTTTATTCCTGATCAGTATCATGGTATATGGGTTTTGACCAGATCAGACACCTATATCATATAGCTGCCTTAGGAACAATCGGACAATTATGTTCTTATATAAAAAGTTATTTTGTTTTTCTCGTTATCTTAATCAAACTTGACATTTACAACATCTACCATAAATAAAATATCCCTTACTCAGCAATTAAACTGTGAACAATTCTTCTGATATATCTGCAAGACTATAAGTCATTTGCCTGCAAGGGTATTTAATCTTCGGCTTGCCGCTGTTAGACCTTCTTTCTTATATTGCTTTTTTTCCCAAGTCTATAACAACTTTTTAATTTGCATAATACTTAAAATTAAGCATGTTGACTCAAATATATTTAAAACTAAAAATATATCCGTTTTTTTAATTTAAGAACAACATTTTACATCACAGAAAAAAAACGTTATTCATACTTTTGTAAAAAACGAAACTATGGCAAGTTTTTAACTATTCTTCATTAAAAACTGCTTCTTAAAAAAATGTTTTTTTACTGTCAAGAAAATAAATAGATTTTTCAGGCAAGATTATGCTGTCCGGCCATCTGGGTCTTTGAAGAGCGTAACACCTCGAATGTGAGACACATATGTATGTAATTCAATGCAATAAAAATAATTCCACGGAAAACAAGTGCGACTTCCAGATGGAAGTGTTCGCTTATGTTTCACATTATATTGAATTTAAGGTGCTTATTTATTTATTTGGAAAACTCAGAACGGAACTCTATAGCTTAAGCTTGCTGAGTTTCGTTTAGTTTTCATTTGTATTGTTATTGATACGCGGCCAGGAATCAAGTTCTCATTTTAAATGTGCAATTCAAAAGAACAGCTGTACGCAAAAAACGGTCGATCTTTAGTTTCCCATAAAGGTAAAGCTATTCAAGATATCTGGAAAAGCTGATAATACCAGTTGAGCAAAACATATGTGGGCTTTTTGCTATAGAAAGTTTTTGTCCATTTAATTTAATGCATATATTTTTTTGTACATTTTCTGTGAGCATAGCTAAGATTTTTGTTTCTCGGCAGCTTGGGAAGCCGTGTCAAGTTCATGTCGCGAGCTTTGTGGATCTTCTAGTATTGGTAGCCGTAGGCCTGAGGCAGGTAGGCGGAGCCGTAGAGCGACTGCTGGTGCTGGGGCACGCCATAGTTGGGGGCAACATAGCTGGCCACGGGCGAGGAGTAAGCGCCGGCGGATCCGTAGCTGGGAGCTGGAGCGCTGCAGGGCACTGGCGCCAGGTTGGGCTGGCAGCTGAACAGATAGTTCTTGGGGCAAGGTGGAGCTGGCACGCTGGAGCCGCCATAGCCGCCCGAGCTGCCGCCATAGGCGGCCTTGCGCAGACGGGTCAGATCACCGTAGCCTTGGCCCTCAGCCTCGGATTCCTGATTGGCAATGGAAACCGAGCTGCTGCCGGTGGGCGTGGCCAGAGCGGAGGCCACAATGGCGATGAGAGCGAAGCAAACGAAGAATTTCATCTTGAAGCTGTTGGTTCTTTCTTGATGGTTACCAAAGGTGACTGATGCCCATTGCAGCCGCATTCCCAGTTTATATAGCCTAACTTTGCCAAGTTAGCATAAAACGGCAGAGACAAGTGGCTTCAACTAGTCTGCCGTTTTTTTGGCATTTGCTTAATCAGCTATCACCCTATAAAAAGCCCGCTACATAGTGAAAATTTAATTTATGGCTTATAGTATACAATACATAAACAGCTTAAATGCCCGACTGTGCATAAACATCATCGGATTTGTGGGTGAAAAATATGTCAGCCAATTATTTGTATCGATCTATATTTAATAATGCTTCGCACCATGCCTAGCCAAGACCTAGTTTAGCTGTTCTATTTATTATATTTATACCTAAGTCATTGCATACTGACTTAAATTAATATGTCAACATACTCTACATTTTCCCATTCTGCTAGTTCTACAAATATATCTTAAATTCCTATAAAGAAAGAGTATTTCCATACATAATATATATACATATACTACATACAAGATATGAACTTCTTTACACTTTGCAGAAAATTATTGAAAATGGATATCAAAATTAGTATTGGGAAATTTTTCCTTTTCAAAATTTGAAGCTCCATAAATAAATGTTTACAAAGCGAGAGTGTACTTTCCACTTTTAATTGATTTTCGTAAACTTTAGAATTTATACAAATATATATATAGAAAATCTTCTTCATCTTCCTTATCTTCTAGTCTATTATTAAGAAATTGTTCAAATTTGTGCAAAACCAAATATTTATTGAAATAGGTTTTGCTGCCTCAATAGTTATGTTTTAAATATATACAAATATAAATATATAATATATAGCTGCCGATTTATGCAAGCTATTTAGGCAGAGATTTCAGTTTTAATAAAAATATCTATCATCTAGAAATTGTGTTAAATTGTTCAATGTTAAAAGAAATTAACTGCACAATTGTTAAGTAAAAATGTTCATAAAAATACTATAAAGTACAAAAGATAAGAAAATGGGTAGAAAATTAAAGGCATTTTGTAAATAAATCCCAACTTAGAAAATGTCTTATAATTAATTACGATAACTGTCTCATCTTTAGAGTGAAAGAAGTTGCGGCAATTTTCAGCATAAATTCTTAGTTTTAGTTCTTTCACACAATTCGCACAACATTTTTACAACTCAATTTAGACTATAAATAAGCATAAGCATAAACAATCCCAACTTCATCCCAATATTGTGTCATTGCGTTAAAAATTCCAGCAAAAAGCCACATTTGATTATACAAAATAAAATAAATGGTGCTAAATAAATGCAAATTTATGATTTTTTGTCAATTTAATTGAACTAGAATTTTTTTTGTACATTTTCTGTGAGCATAGCTAAGGTTTTTGTTTCTCGGCAGCTTTGGAAGCCGTGTCAAGTTCAAGTCTCGAGCTTTGTGGATCTTCTAGTATTGGTAGCCATAGGCCTGAGGCAGGTAGGCGGAGCCGTAGAGCGACTGCTGGTGCTGGGGCACGCCATAGTTGGGGGCAACATAGCTGGCCACGGGCGAGGAGTAAGCGCCGGCGGATCCGTAGCTGGGAGCTGGAGCGCTGCAGGGCACTGGCGCCAGGTTGGGCTGGCAGCTGAACAGATAGTTCTTGGGGCAAGGTGGAGCTGGCACGCTGGAGCCGCCATAGCCGCCCGAGCTGCCGCCATAGGCTGACTTGCGCAGACGGGTCAGATCACCGTAGCCTTGGCCCTCAGCCTCGGATTCCTGGTTGGCAACAGAGCCGCCGGCGTTGCTGCTGGCAGCAGAGCTGCCGCTGCTGGGTGCTGCCAGGGCGGAGGCGGCGATGGCGATGAGGGCGATGCACACAAAGAATTTCATCTTGAATCTGTTGGTTCTGCTGTGGTTACCAAAGGTGACTGATAACATGCCAAGTTCCACAAGTAGTTTATATAGCTAGACTTCTGCATAGCTGGCACAAGTGCCTCCAACTATTCTGTGGCTTTGAAAATTTGCCCATTTCATAAAATTGCGCTGAGTCGAGCGAATGTTCATTTTTGGGGTCAGTTTGATGTTTTTTTTTCTTTCTTTTTTGATGAGAAGAAGAACTATGCCGTGAGACGTTTAGGTTGGCAAAATTTGTAAAAATGGAAAGTTGGAAAATGTGGCAACAGAGTTGGGTGGGTGGCTCATTTCTCGACTCGTTGGCATCTTGCACAATGTTAATCGTAGCCTCATTTCTAAAGCCAGCTCTACTTTGAGTTAAAATAGCTCACTGTTATGCTTGATATGTGCATTTTTCTATATTTCAACATGTTTCGAGTTTTTGTTGAGTTACGAAATTATTAAGACTTAATTATTGGAGACTTTAGATAAAAACTTGGCTGATGTGTCTAAAGTCAAATTGGAAATAGTTTCTATCATAATTGTCCCATGAATTTCAACTTTGCTTTGTAAATATTTGGCATAAAAAAAGTTCCAGCCAGTCAAAATGAACCATAGAAATAATCTTCCAAATGCTCTAATTTGTGAATATATTTAACAGACTTATATATCTGAGACGTCCATGCTTAACTATCCATACCTAAAGATGTCCAAAAATGTTTTGCAAATCTTGGTTTTTCTAGACAATCAAACGAAAATCCTTATAATTTTGTCATGAAATGTGTAACTCATAGAAGAAGACATCTCCGGTCCGATTATTAATATATATTCCAGATCAGAATCAAGCCAATTAAATATAGCCAAGTCGGTCTGTTTGTATATGCATCTGTCTGTTTCTATGCGAACAAGTCTATCAGTTTTAAAGCTATGGTATTGAAACTTTGCGTAGGTCCAACTTTCTGTTGGTGGCATTACATATGTAGGAACCTTCCGAATCGGAACACTAAGTCATAAAGCTGCCACAGGAACTTTCGGTCGAAGAGTAAGCTCTTCAGTGGGAATCTTTTTTGGTTATCAAGATATCTTGGTCAAACTATGCTGATGCCAAATCTTAGCAATATCGCGCAACTAGTTTGTATAGCCCCACAGGGAGAGTCTGAGAAAAGTGAGTATTTTGATCAAACTCAGCAATAACGAGCTTTACATTTCAGACATATCTGTAAAAGCGAGTGAGGCAAATGCTTACAAGAATACATATTTATATAAGACTTTTCAACTATGCGTTTTGTGATACCTCCAGGATGGTATTTGAAATATCATCTTATAACTTAATATTCTCCAACTACTTATGTTAATATTTGAAAATTGCGTTTTAGTCATGTGGCTAGGCTATGAAATATTACTATATACATTTGCTAAATGTCTCTACTTCTCGTTTGAATAAATTTCTTAAAATTAACTTACGTATGTATATTGAACTCGAAGCATTTCCTTCAGTTGATTACGCATGTGCACATTAATAGTGCGAATGACAAACTTTGTTCAGCTATCGTTTAGGTTTCTATAAATTATTATATATATTGTTATATATTCTAATGCGTATCGTTAAAGAAAGCCACAAAATGAAGCAATAAAAATTATAAGAAAAATATCCAACTCTCACAAATAATGTATAAAAACCTACCAGGCCAAAACGAATCTTTAATTTTAAACCCATTTCTTATGTAATCAACTTCAATTTGATGTCTGCATATTTGCATTTCTTCTTGATTTATGAATGCCTTCAGAAATTTTCACTTTCTTTGCGTACCTCCTACGCATTCAAATTCACATCATATACAGACATACATATACATATATAGTATCTGATGATTCAAAATGACTGAAAACTGAAATGCAAGTGCCAACGACCCACATTTTCGGATGAGTTTTGAAAATTTATTACGTACAGCCAAAGCGGCTACATAAATACCAAAATTACATATACATTTTCGAAACTGTGAAAACAAATGGGAATTTCCACAACATTTCATGAAAATACATACATGCACTGCGGCTAGAAATGCCCCCCCGCACCAGTCACAGCAACCACTGCGATTAAACACACACCACACACCGATATACAGTCACTCCACAAATACTACTACACAATCATGTATATTTATATTTAAAAATCTATATATGTATAGATATATATATGTATAGATATACATATGTATATATGTATATATATGAATATGTATGTAGCGGCACCCGGACTTAGCATCGGCTCCCTTCTAGTCTAACGCCTCGAAAACACAGAAAAACATCTCTTTCAAGCCGAAAATCGAATACTCTTTAAAGCATATTAATTATAGTTATTATTCTTGCCACTATTATGAACATACTATTATTATTACTTTTAAAAATGTTATTATCTTTGTTAGTATTATTAGTATTATTATTTTTATTAGTATTACTATTACATAAATATTATTAATAAATTTTTATAAATATTATTAATATTATCATTATCACTTTTATTTTCATTAGTGTTTTCATTATTATTATTAATTTTATTATTATTATTAATATTATTATTATTAATATTATTATTATTATTATTATTATTATTATTATTAATATTATTATTATTATTATTATTATTATTAATATTATTATTATTAATATTCTTATTATTATTATTATTATTATTATTATTATTATTATTATTATTATTATTATTATTATTATTATCATTATTATTATTATTATTATTAGCCTGAAATTCGAACCCACAATTTCGAGTTACATCTTCGCCAGCTCCTAATGACTTACTCACATAGACAGCTCATCTTTTGAGCACTGCATTAACTCAATAAGTTTCATTGATCTGTTAGTTCAGATATATATAGAGTACAACTCTGACAACTAGTTATTGGCAAACATTATGTTAAAACGCAAATATCCTGCATCAGGGCATACAGATCGCTTCATTTGGCATCAGTTGGTTGGCGGCGACATTGGCGCTATTTTTGAGACCCCGCATGCGGTTGGATTGCAAGTGCCCAGCAGCAGCAGCGGCGGCATCATCGATCAGCCCCTCACTTTTTGGAGGGAGCAGCACACATGTTGTGCCACAATCGTTGTTTATATGCTGTTCAATTTTTAGGATCGTTCTTATGCTTCACTCACTCAATTACGCTCAAGAGCCGGCGGCTTCTCAGAAAATCTGTGTGGGGTAGTTTTTTTTTTTGTACTTCTCAAAAGGCGATCATGTGCGATCTTCTGTGATCTTGAGTGTCGCTGGGAAGCTGACTTTCAATTGTTGCTCTTTGAACTTTTCTTGTCTTGAGTGAATGTGTGGATCACTTAATAACTTAATATGAAACTTAGCCAGCGCGATATCTATATGTATCGTACGATCCTGTCTCTGAGCCAGCTAATTGCAATCTAATTAATATCAATTACTATAGTCGATTTAAATTAATAATCTTTTAGATCACGAGAACATTTTTTTATAAATAATTTCTATGTGTATTTTTTTCTATGAATGATCAAATTCCAACTAATTATCAAAATAAGTATTAGATATTTATATCTGTATATCTATAAAATAATACAATAATTTATATTAATAATATATCAAATACATATATTTAATATGCATTTCTGTCCGTTCCCATGTAAATTCTGTTCAATCCTAAATTGTCAAGATTATCATAAATATTTCTTGATATTATTTTGTCCACATATAAATCACTAACCACAAAAATCGTTTGGCATTGGTTTATATTTATAAATATTTTTAATATTTATATTGGGACCCTGCATACAAACATATACGTATGAATAATATATGAAACGTCTGTTAATGTTTTCTTCATAATAAAATATTTCAAAACAAGTAAGAGCTTCTAGTCGGGAGCTCCCGACTAGGGGATATCCTGAACCCTCTTCTTCCAACATCAAATGCATATATATATATTCTATTTTAGAAGCTACATGTCAAGTTTAGTGACTCTGGCTCTTATTATTTACCAATATTGCCCAAAAAACAGGATATCGATATCGATTTTTATCGACTGCTTGGAAACGGAGTAAGTTATCGATTATCGGAAACAAACTCGATCTGCACGGGAACTAAGAGCACCTACATCTAAATATTTCAAGTCTCTAGCTCTTATAGGTTCTTAGATCCTTGCGTTCATACATACGGACGGACGGACGGACGGACGGACAGACAGACCGATATGGCTTGATCGACTCGGCTATTAATGCTGATCAAGAATATATATACTTTATGGGGTCGGAGATTCTTCCTTCTGCCTGTTACATACATTTGGCTTTCGCACAGGGTATAAAAAGCCAAACTTCGTGAAAATCGGATGAGATTTGGCCGAGATATGGGGGTGGTAAATTTTGACCCATGTCTATATACGAATCTTGGGGTAAGATTTGGACATGAATTTCGACTAAAAAATCGATGTTCATATTTAAATGCCAGAGTAATCAAGGGGGAAAACCATGAAGAAAAATTCAAACTTCAAGAAAATCGGCTGAGATTTGGCCGAGATATGGGGGTGGTAAATTTTGACCCATGTCCATATACAAATCTTTGGGTAAGATTTGGACATGAATTTCGACTAAAAAATCGATGTTCATATATGAATGCCAGATTAATCTACAGGGAAAACCATGAAGAAAAATCCAAACTTCGTGAAAATCGGATGAGATTTGACCGAGATATGGGGGTGGTAATTTTTGACCCATGTCTAGGGGTAAGATTTGGACATGAATTTCGACTAAAAAATCGCTGTTCATATTTGAATGCCAGATTAATCTAGAGGGAAAACCATAAAGAAACCCACAAACTTCGTGAAAATCGGATGAGATTTGGCCGAGATATGGGGGTGGTAAATTTTGACCCATGTCTATATACGAATCTTGGGGTAAGATTTGGACATGAATTTCGACTAAAAAATCGATGTTCATATTGGAATGCCAGATTATTCTAG